CCGCGGCTGCTGCTGCTGCGGCGGTCGTCCTCGCCGCCGCCCACATCGGCCGTGCCGGTCGACGTGGTAGATGGGGCGACGCTCGCGCTCTCCCTGCTCGAGGGGGCGCCATCGCCAGCGTCGCCCGCGCCCGACTCCTGGGGCGCGGCCGGCGGCGGCCTCGGCGCTACGCGCGCGGGTGGCCCCGCGGGCCCCGGGGCTGCCGTCGCGCCAAGGTTGAAACCTGGTCCTCCATCCACAGGTTCTCTCTCCGCCCTCCCTCCACCTTGGCCCGACACGCCCTCCCCGACCTCGTCCTCCCCAGTCGCGTATTCCTCTTCCTCCTCTGCGATGGGAGGCAACGGCTGGGGTAGGGCGGTGGGGGAAGCGGGTACGGATTGCCAGGTGAAGGTGCGAGTTGTGATTGCTTGGCGTTTTTCGTTCCAGATGCGCGCGCAATCACGGTTGGTGTTGATTCCCAGGCCGAGGTAAAAACACTTTTTGGCTTTCGGCTCGGACTTGTGCGTACGCTTGACCTTGTATGCGGCAGGTTTGAGGAACGGGTACGTCGCCCCCGGCGGGGGATGGTGCCCGTGTCACATCTCGTACGGCGGTTTCTTCTCGGAGTTGGACGTGGTGGAGGTGCAGTTCAGGGCGATGCATGCTCAAGCTATGGCCTCGGCCCAAAGGGAGGGGTAGTTCGGTGCTCCGGGGTAATGAGTTGGCGCTTGGATACGGGCGGCTAGTGCTGCATCCTTGATCAGACCCAGTGCTCTCTCAGCTACGCCGTTGTATTCTAGGCTGTGTACGGGGGTAAACTCCTGTTTGATGTAGTACTTCCGGCACACCCTGCCGAACTCTTCCTAAAAAACTCTCCTCCGTTGTCAGATCTCACAACCATGACATCGGACGGGGCACCGTCTGCCCGGTTTTCTGCAAGGTTCGCCTCGAATGCCTCAGCTGCGTCTGATTTGTGCTTCAGGAAATAGACATGGTTCCACCTTGTGTTTTCATCCCAGACAATGACAGTGTACCGCTTCCCCCCCAAGCTCTCCACCCTAGCTTTTCCGCTCAAATCCGCGAAAACTCGCTGCAGTTTCTTTGCTGCTCTGGTCGACGTCTTGTTGGGGATGGGCTTGGAAAGCCTCTTCGCCGTCGAGCACCCCAGGCACTCCCGGAGCTTGCCCACCAGCGTTGTCCCCTTCTGCTTCGCCGTGGTCCTCAGCAGCACCTCGTGGGAGTGGTCGTGCGTGCAGTGGAAATCGTTGACGTCAACGGGGGCGCTGGACGCTTTCGCGTTGCCAGAAACAATTGCGGTATAGGCATGTTCGGTGTGTGTGCGGACACGGTTTTGGACGTACAGGTTACCGCATCGGGGGAAGTACACCGACTCCCCCGCCCCTCTCTCCAACTCCAACTCGTGTTTATTGAGGGTGTTGGTTTCGAACCCACCGTCGAAGAGGGAAGTGAGAAAGACTAGCTTGTAGTCTAGTCGGGGAACGTGTGCAACCCGTTTCAACAGCAGGTCGGTTGTGCCGTCGCGCGAGCTAAGGGTGACCGTCACGTCGCCGTACCCAGCGATGGGGAAAAAGTTTTCTCCGGCGGCGACGCGCACACGTCGATTACACTCCTGATATCGGACGAACCCATTTGAGCTTGCGAACATGTGGGTGGTAGTGCCGGTATCGGCAACATACCTACCCCGCCTAGCCTGCTCCACACCCCCTCCACCAACGACTGTGTGACACTCGCCTGAGATGTCACCGACCACCAGCGCCTCTTCTGCCGCGTCCAGTGCTGTGGCATCCGCAGACGCCCCTCCTGCCGGCACTTCCACCACGAGCACCGCCTCCTCGGTCGGGCACTTGCTCTTGTCGTGCCCGTAGCCCTTGCATGTCTCACATCGCACGGGCTTGCTCTCGGTGCAGTCGGCCACCTGGTGGCCCTTCTTGCCGCACCGGAAACAGCGACCGCGCATGCTACCCGCATCGTCGTCGCCGCCTCCGCCGCCGCCACCAGCCTTCGCGCCACCCCCTCTCCCCTTCTGGGTGCCGCCGCCGCCGCCGCCGCCGCCACCCTTGCGGCGGCCGCCGTTTCCGCGGTCCGGCGCTCCTCCCCCACCGCTACGGTCGCTCGCGAGGAGAGCGTGCTCCGCCCTCCGCTGGCCCTTCGGGGCCTTCCTCCTCTCCGGAAGGCTCGCGTGCACCGTGCTCACGATTCTGACGATCTCGGCCCTATCCAGCGCCGTTGCTGTCTCCAACAGGAATCCAGCCTTCGCGCCACCCCCTCTCCCCTTCTGGGTGCCGCCGCCGCCGCCGCCGCCGCCACCCTTGCGGCGGCCGCCGTTTCCGCGGTCCGGCGCTCCTCCCCCACCGCTACGGTCGCTCGCGAGGAGAGCGTGCTCCGCCCTCCGCTGGCCCTTCGGGGCCTTCCTCCCCTCCGGAAGGCTCGCGTGCACCGTGCTCACGATTCTGACGATCTCGGCCCTATCCAGCGCCGTTGCTGTCTCCAACAGGAACTTCGCTTGTTGGTACTCGGGTGGGAGGGAACCAACGAAGTGGGCGAGAACGAAGGGTTGTTCAGCATTGAGCCCTTTTTCGCGCAGGCGTGAGTACAGCAGCTCGAGCGTGTATAGGTGCTCGATGGGGTTTCTGCTGCTGTGTGTGGGGATCGTGAAGTTGGACATTTGCTTCATGAGGGCTTGTTTCGAGTCCTGCGATTCCGGATCGTATATTTTTGTCGAGTTCCGCGAGGATCTCTTTTGCGGTCTCGCATTTGTTCACGATCGCCTTGTCGGCTTCTCTAATGATGGCAGTGGTCACAAAATGGAACGCTTGGAGGCCCCTCTGGACCTCGTCGCTGGTGTATTGGAGGCGGTACATCTCCGAGCTTGGCACCTCAAACGTTGGGTTGACGACAGGTGCATGTCTCTCGTTGTTGCCGATCAATTGGCCGTCCAGCCCTACAGCCTTGGTCGCTTGGATAAGCGACTTTCTCCACGAGTCATACCCATGGCCGCGACTCTCCCCTTCGAGACGCGGGGCATTGACTGTTACTCTCTTCATGTGGCTACTGCTGTAGCCGTCGAGGAATTCCCCATTTCCTCGAATCACGGGTATCTCACCTGGGGGTTTAACCCCCTCGCTTCCCGGTAGTCCGGTCCTATGCCCGGGCCCACTCCGGCTGGTCTCGCAGGGTTCGCTCCCGATCTGCTGTCCCAGCCGCCTTCCAGCAGCCGACATGGTCCTTGCCCACCATCTCTCGCTTGCTGCTGGAGAAATCCCCCGCCACCGCCGAGCGGCTGCAGGGACTCTTGTTGGCCCTCGGTGGCGGCAACCCAGCCGCCACTACTATTTTAGCTGCATCCGCCACGACGCTGCCAGGCTCCTTCTCCTTTATCGACTCCTCCACCAGGGCCGCCAATTGTGAGACCTGCAGTTGCAAACTTGCAAGCTCCGCATCGCTGCCCTCCTGCGCCGGCGGGCGGATCTGCTCCGCTCGCATCAGTGCGCTCTGCGTCTCCAGCAGAGCTCATCCCAATGTGGCTTCTCTCAAGGGGCAAAAACTACTCTAGAGTGTTTGCGGCCTACGCCACTTATTCATCGGGTGAGACTGTTTTGGTGATGTATTAACTTCACCAGAGGTAGACGATCGTCCTTCATATGGACGAAAGAGGAAGTGCTCGAAGAGCGGCTCCCAAAGCAAGGAGGGGCCCCGCGAATCATCGCGGTGCCCCCTACCAACACGGCATTGTTGCCAGTCCGCGTGACACCAAATCATCCACCACATGTATCCAACACCAATATTCGCAGACCCACGAACAAGATCTAGATGGGTTGACAGTTCCCGCATAGTGATTTTCCTTGCTTGCAGCTCGATCTTCGAGGGCGGATCCTGTGTGTGTGTGGGAGATCTCCGATTTTGGTCCTCGGTTCCTTTGCAACTCCGCGGGGATCCGGGTGAGTATCTACCATGGTTGTAGGTACAAACACCGGCGAAGCACGGCAATCTGCTGCCGGAGCACGACCAAACCGGTGTGATGAAGAACGCCCTCTGTTTCTTGTTCCTCACAAGCCAGCAGATCGTCAATCTCGGTGCTCTGTAGACCTCGTGCTGGTCGGAAAGGATGAGAAATTCAGGCGGCCATTTAGTTAAATTACATTAGGTACCTGGTAGAGAGAGCCTGTTTTTCCCTCGTCGGACGGAGGGACAAGAACGGCGTGCTTCGAGCACCGCGGCTCTTTGTAACCGGAGCTGTCCTCGGTAATTTCGCTGGGGGAATTTAACCGTGGTAAAATTCTGGGAAAATCACTGCAATTTCCAATTCCCGTGTTGCCGTGACCAATTGGAAGTATACATGTACCGTTGCCGTGACATATAGATCTTACCGCTACCGTCCAAGTCGTTGCGGAACAAACTGCATTGCCTCATTGCTGTGTAAAAAAACTTCTTGCAACAATCTCACTTCCCGTTCTTTCTCGTTACCGCGGAGCACATTATCGCACGAAAACCCGAAACCGATTTACCGCGGAGAATAACAATTGGATTACCGCAGGCGACTGTTGCTTTCGCTACCTGCCGCAGGTGATGCTTATCTTGTTTTTTTCAGCGTTGACTTCCAGTTTTGATCTGTGGGTCAGGAAGGCGGCGCCTGTTGTCTGCCTGTCTTCTGGTCAAGGACGACCCTTTTGCTTTGCGTAGCACTGAATGTACGTGGTCGCGATGAGGCCGCGGGAACCTGCCTGCAAACAGTGTGAAGACATATTATTTAGTCTTGTGCCTCGTTCACTGTTTTTTAAGCAAACGCTTTGGTCGACGGGGGGTATGCTCGGTGAATGTGTCGCGCACGTCAGTGCGGTGACAACAAGCCCAAAAGAAACAGATCATTACGTAGGGTGGTCTGGTTTGCTGTATATACCAGGCCGCGGCAAACCGCAAAAAACTGCCGTGGTGGCCAGTTACCTTACACAAATTACCACAATGGTCAGTTCACGCACTAAAAATACCGTGGTGTCGAGATACCGCACAAAAATACTGCGCTACAGCTGTGCCGTGGCCAGTTACAGCTCAAAAGTACGTAAATTGCACCATGGAGTTTGGTTTGGTTACCACGGTAAATCTTAACGACATGAAAAATGGGTCCCGAGGACAGTAGCCCTGGTTATAACCCGAAAGACAGATATAACCCAAAGACAGGTGCGCAGGGGAGGCCTCACTCAGACTTTGGCTAGAGGAAATGTTGACGCACGGTAGAGTAGAATATAACACACATTGTCGACTTCAATACGCCTACTCTACCCATAGCACCGCTATGTACCATCAATTCGACCGTTGATTGGAAAAAGTGAAAAGTTCTCTACCATTTTGAAAAGGCCGTAAGCACTTCTTGGCGTATGCTCACCGTTCTTTAGTGTTTCCGGGGTGGAGGATTCACTATTATCCCAGCTGCTGTACTTTGTATGTACGCATGCATAAATACTTACCACGCCAGCACATACGCCCCTGGGAGAAACGAAATTCAGAAATATTAAGATAGAATGAAAAACTTGGCCTGATCAACTGGTGGTCAGTTGAGAATGCTGCAGCAATCACGACGGTGTTATCGCTTTTTGGAAATACCCACAGTGGAAACAAGAATCGAGCCTCGTGCATTAAGGTTTTGCTTTTCATCGTTGACCCTTGTTCTTGGTTTTGATACCCCATCAGGCGTCGCTGATGACCGGTCGCGACAGCTTCCTCACCGGGATGCAGCATGGCATTATCGACTACTCTGCTCCGTGGGGTCTGCCCTTCGAAGAAGTGACCCTTGCCGACAGGTTTAAGGCCGCTGGGTACTCCACTCACATGGTGAGGCGTGTTGATCACAAAAGAGGGGACGGGGAGGGAGATGCCGTGATACCGTTGTAAGATATTAGGGATCTCTTTACACATATGGGTCTACAGTATATCTCTCGTTCCGCCCTCTTCCCGCGTGAACAAAAGTTGTTTCGAAAGCCTGTGTAGCATTGATCGCGTTCCAGGCTGTTCGTAGATATTAACTTGTTTGACATCATCGCTAATATATGCGTGCATTTTTCTGCCATGCGGGCAATACTCTTGTTGTAACCGTGCCGCTGGTATCGGCAGAAGGCAGCAGACCCTTCTCAACTCCCGCCGCCTGGTTTTCAACTCAATAGAGGCCCCGGGAGGCCGGCGGCTGGTGGTCATGTACCCATCCTTAGGCTTAGTTTGTTAGACCTCCCATATACAGCCCCTCTACTCCATCCACTCTCTGGAGGGGTTACGAGGCTGATGAATTGGCTTGTTCTGTGGGGTACGACCCACGAAAAATGCATCTGAGGAAGGAGCACACGCGCAGGGTGGGAGTTGGCTCGGCCGGGAACAGAGTTGGCCCAAGGATGCGATGGTTGATGTTACGCATGCTGATGATGGAGAGCAAAGAAGACCCCACCTGCTTGGTTGCACTACGCAGCTTAGTGCGCTCCCTATATTTTCCAGCTTCTGTTGACATTCTGTTTCTCTCCCTCCGATCTTGTAGAATCACGAGAGGGGCGCGAGGGGATCTGTGCTTCGGCTTTTCCAACATGGGAGATGTCATCGGCTGTAGGTCACCGAGCGGTGAAAGGCCACTGAAATGGGCTTGTCTTGTCCGTGCCTCCCTGTAGGCCGCAGACAACTGTTAGCCGCGTTTCATCTTCTGTTGTCCCTCGAGCGCCCTCCTCATATCCACCCCCCCATCCCACCGACTGAATATTGTCTCTCCGTCTCTCTCTCGTTGTCTCTCTCTCTCTTCCTCTCCCTCTTCCTCGCTGCCGTGGGCCTTGAATCTCTCGCACAAGACCGGTAAATGGCACCTGGGCGTGTTTTCGGACGCCAGCTACCCGTTTTCGAGGGGATTCGACACGTTCTTGGGGTACACCGGCGGCGGCGAGGGCTACTACAATCACTCCACGTGAGAGTAATCTCTGTGACTCCACCCTTCTCAATCCCCGATTATTTAGTTTTCAGGCCGTGAGTTTTTGTTAGTGCACTACTTTCACCTTGATTTTCCGTGCGTTCCGTGCGAACGAGAGGTGAAGCGGATGGTCAGGTTCCCCGACATGACTGTTGGATGCTGTCGGCCACCATTGTAACTATCCGTCGACGTTGTCACGCGCCTTGTTCACAGGGATAAATTATCTTCTGAACGCTACTGATGTCTCGGTCACATTCGTGTACGAACCAATGTCGCGAAAAATCCATACGATGAGCCCCTCGCGTTTAACCGCAATGACGGGGGGAGGAGTGTGTGTTCTTGCACCTTGTTGGGGTGAGGGGGTGGCTAGCGAATTGCCCTGAAGCGATGCACAAGGAGGATTCAGTAGTGGTGGAACCAACTGATTTTTCAATGGCTGCCTGCCTGCGCTTTTACCGGTGTCAATAAAAAAGATGTTTCACCCCCACGTTTGAGGGAGGGGAGTATTCGTGCCTCAAGGACTTCGGGTACGGCGACGAGGACGGCTACATTGACTACACCACCAATACCACCAGAGAGGTATCTACCAGATCACGAGATCCACGAGATCCACGAGATCCACGAAATACGAAAAAAAGAGCGAGAGAGTTATTTCACTTGGGGAAGTTAGCGGGACATTTCGAAGGAATACGTCGAGTCAGCGTGCTACACGATACAACGTGGCAAAGACGTGCTTAGTTACAACGACGCACCAAAACCATGGCAGATGCAAGTCAGCCGCAATAATTGGGGGTTTTGTTTTCATCCGTACATGTAATTGATTTTGTAGGTTTTGGTTTTGGACAGATTATTAGGCAAGTTTCTTTCCGAACTGTTTGGTATCTGTGGCGGTACCCCGAGCGTGGAACGCCTAGATGGCGTCTTTTCGAAAACTGTACACCGATCTATGCGATACGTTACAGTAAGAAAACTTCCACACCACCGGGGATGTTTTGTCACTCTCTGATGCGTGATCTGGTTCTACTACTCCTTCGTCATCTCATCTGCAGGGTCCTGCGATGGTAGGCAACTACAGCACGACCATCGTGACGGACCGTGCTATCGATGTCGCCACGGAGCACACAGGAACGGCTTCCTCCAATGATGCACTGTTTCTATACGTGGCCTACCAGGCGAGTGAGAGTCGCACTTGTTATCGAATGGTAACCGTACACTTTCGCTCCTGGCGTTTCGGGCCGCGTGGGAGGTGGAAACGTTTTAACCAGCGACCTGGCACACATAATCGAATGGTGTTGATGTTATTTGTCGCGATAAGTGTGTTAGGTGCGGCGAAGGTGATGACGATTCGAGTGCCACGGCATATTCTTATGGGCTCGTGGTGGGTGACGCGCCTCGTGGGACGGGAAAATCAACACCAACCGCTGCCTAGCGTGGCACGTGGAGGATCACATTTGCTGCAAAAAATCAGGGGGTGGAAAGAAAAACGTGTGCCGATTCTTTGTGCCTGGTGCACTACGCATGCCTGCGTACTCACTTCTGAGGGGGCGTTACGATCAGAGAATACCCATAAGGCCACGTACTGTTTGTAGTGTTAGACTCGGATCAATCATTTCCTCTTCAGTGACGTAACGTTATCCCGGTCAATGGTCTCGAAAACACTCCAATGGCCTCTGAAGTGCAGACCTCGCACCGTTAATTTTTCTCGCTTCACGCTGCTGTCGTATGCCGGCGAGGATAGTCGATGAAGGCCCGAAACGCAGAGAGGTGATGCTCCTTATGTTAGAATAGCGGATCCGTCAACGCTATCTAGAACTCCCCTGAGATGTATCGTCGTGCCTGTCAAATGTGAGAGGTTGGGTTGCCGGGATGCCCGATCAACTCAGCAAATGCAAGGATTATGGTCATCTTCTTCCTCGTGAGATTTGGCCTTGGTTGGCGAAAACCCGGCACATTGCTTTTTCCCAACGGTGTAGGGATGAGAGGTCTATGGTCTAACGACTACGGCATGCGTTGTCATCAGTACCCGCTTGGACTGCGTTACCCCTCCCCATCGCAACAGAGAAACGCCGTCTGTTTCAACATGCGTCCATTGCCCCCAACATGTCGTGGCGGTCGACCCAACATCAGCTGCCAACACTCGAATACCCATGCTCGCACGTGCCACTTTTCCAAACTCGAAACGACCCCAGGCGGTGCACACCCCACTGGACGCACCCCTACCGGGCACGTTCACGGAGGAGGAAGAGAAGACACTGGCAAGGTTGGTCGCCGACGAACCCGATCGCCATGTCTTCGCCAGTATCATGTACTCCCTTGACAAGGAGGTGAGGTGCAATACGGCAGTGTTCGTCCTCTTGTCTCCCTCAAGCTCAATGAAAAGTCTTAGGTGCGCAAGGCATTTTATTGGACGAAGGAAAGCTGGGGTTTGAATGTAGACCGGGACTGAATCGTACAGCAGCATCACGTAAACTCCTATTTCACGGAAATAGTTCTCCTCTGCGTGTCTCCTCTCCGAGTCGTACGGCTTCAGGTGCAGGGTGAGGGGGCACGGCCCCAGCAACTTATTCAACGTAGACTGCATGCTACTGTGATCAAGTTCGTGTGTGCTCTGTTTGATCCTTGTTATTGCATTCGGTGTGCTGCAGTTCGCCCCGGTCAACCCGGTGAGGCCAACGAGCGAGGTCCTCGATGGCCTGGCTAGGTACCCCAGGCCTCGAAAGACGAGTCAGTGCTGTGTGTGTCAAAGCGTGTTCCCTCACTCCCAGGGGTCCCACCCAGGCTTGGTACGCGCGCTCGACGACTGATTGGGCTGGGTCCGGTCCATCCAGTAGTTCACTCAAGTGCCTCCCCAGTCTTCATGCCGTGTGTAGGCTGGGGTCCTGTTCTGTCTTGTCCTGGCCCGCTGCTCCATCCGCGTACCCCCGTGGTATCTAGATCCCGTCCAGGTATTTCAACGCGCATCTACACACATTCACGATGACGACCACCACCGGTTCTTGAGTTCCTCCTTCGTTCTCCAGATGTTGTACCTATATATATGCATTCACAGACTGCTTCCTTCGCGTTTGCTTTTTCCTCTCAATTATCGTCGTCACAACCGTCGACCAAATCAGGTGCGTAGGCTTCACGACGCGCTCGAAGCCCTCGGCGTCCTGGACAACGCCGTGATCGTGATCGCCAGCGACAACGGTGCTTGCCCATCCTCGGGGGGATCCAACCACCCCCTGAGGGGGTTCAAGAACACCACCTTCCAGGGGGGGGTCCTTGTACCAGCACTCGTGTACTCCAAGTCGACAGAGCTGATACCGGAGGAGGTGCATACATGCCCTTGTCGTGTGTACCTTATTTTTGTCGCGATGTGCTTCTGCCGTGGGATTCCTCTCGTTCTGTTGGTTGTATCACATCTGCTCGTTGTTGTTTTGGGAGAGCTCTCTCTCTCTCTCTCTTACGTTTCTCTTATGCTTGTGTCGGTCTGTCCGTCTGTCTGCCTGTCTGCCTGTCCTTCTCTTCTCTGCCGTCTCCTCTGTCTGTTCATCTTACTGTCAGTCGTCCTGTCTCTCCAGCTGGCGTTCTGTCTCTCTCGTTTCGTCAGTTGGAACGTTTGTCGGGATACACGGGATGAGGATTGTATACCTCGGCCACCCCCCCCGACGCATGAACCCATCCCCCACTCCTCCCCAGAAAAAACCCTGTCAATGGTTGCGTGATTCGACACCGAAGGTCCCTTCAAGGCATGCGTATGCAGACCACTCTCACCCCGCCCCCCCCCAAACACGCCTGTCCTCTTGCCCTGGTCGAACACAGGCGAGGGGGACAACCTACTCTGGAATGATGCACTCCACCGACTGGACCCAGACGCTAGGCCGTGTTGTTCCGGGGCTTCCGCTGGTGAGGAACGGGATTGATTCCCCTGAGACAAGTATTGAACTTTGATCTCATCTGTTGTCTGTACAAGAAAAAGTTGTCCTCGGTATGAGGACCACGCCATGTTTTTTACAAGCATGCGACCCCGCAGAATGCAAAGGTATGGGAGAATTCTTAGAAGGGACCTTCCATCGCTCTTCAAGGACACTCTGTTCGGATGGAGAAACATCGTGAGTTGAGTGTCCTTTGAGCGGAGATAACCACTGCTGTCTTCTTGTCTGCACATCGTCCACCGTATGGTCATTTTCTGTGATTGGCCACGGTGGCGACGCGTCAAGTGGCTCTCCCCCCCCGTGGCACCCTTTCGTGTTTCGTTGATGCCATCAACAACAACACCGCAGTGAGCCCAACTTGTCGTGGGTCATGCTTTCAATTCGATCTGTGGCACACCTCATTGCGACTCACGCTCGGCGAAGCTGGGAATGCCCACGTTTTGGCCCCACACGTCACAAGCGCCGTCGCGGGGAGCGACCTCACGGGGTACAGCCTCAAAAATCAGCGACCCGGTTGTAATGTGTGCGTCAAGATCCCTCCCGCATAGTACCACACCCAGCGGGAAAACATTTTACGGTCAACATGAGATATAACACAACCTCCACTCTGTGTTGAGATGATGAAGGCAGGCCACAATAGATTGACCCCCTCCAAAACCATGGTGCTTCTTGACGCCCTGAGCAATTTCATTGCGATGGGCTGAGCTGAAAGTGGAAGTACGGAAGGCAGGACACCGGTCAAGCGTAGGCCGTGAAAGATATTGTGCGAGGGAGGATCGGGGCTAGGGTTTGATGTGGACGGGTTTTCGAAAACACATGGGTCATGAAGCCCTTCCGCGGCGTGTACGGCAACGGTCGACAGCTACAAACAAATTCATTGTAGGCGGTCGAAATCTACCCTTTTTTTCTTTTCTAGATTGTTTCCGGGAGGAGCAGTAAAGTCAACTATTTACTGTGGTTGCTGCCGTTTAGAAAAGGCCAGCGAACCCTATCCCTCTCTTCTTCTCGATTGGCTCCTATCCCAATGTATATCACAGCGTGACCATTCTACTGCGCCGAGCAAGAGGTTTCATCCAGCAAGTACCGGCCACCGGGCCTACAGAGGACCCGCGACTGCTGAATAAGCAGTTTCGTTTCTACGTACCCTTGGCAGGCTGGGATGGGGAAGGAGCTGAGCGGCTTCGACCAATGGGACGCCATCGTGGGTAGGCGGTCTGCAGAGGAAGGGCCCGTCCGCAAGGAAATGGTTCTGGGGCGCAACAGCTATACTTTCGACACCGACACGGCGGAGATGGTGAAGAGAGCTAGTCCGTGGGGTGCCTACATTCACGACGGCTGGAAGCTGATCCTGCAAGAAAGGTCAATAAAGTTACCAATCGTAGCATTGCCGCCATCATTCTTTGTTTTTCATTGACGGGTTTTTCTGTGCACAATTTAGAGGCGCTTTGTATTGTTGAGCCAACGATGTTAAGGACTTCTTGTATGCTATGTTGTCCACCATAGCGCTTTCTAGCCCGCTCCCTGCGGTTGCCAGCGTTGTTCCATCTAGTTTTCTTGTCTGCGTGGCACCCGTCTCGGGCATGGCAAGAGGTAGAGCCAGAGAATGGTGGGTTTCACCAATTGAGTGGTCGTAAAAGCCCCAAGCAGCATCATTTGGTTGAACGTACTTCTGGCCGGGTGTCCAAAAGCCATGGTTAAGGCGTTGCTGAACTCTGGCTATTCACGTTGGGGTAGACGCGGCACATCGAAGTTGTAGCCGCGAACGCACGCCTGTTTTGTTTGGTGAATAGTTATGTTTGGAAGTACAGGGCCCGTCGGCCTGTACTTAATTGTATCGGAATGGTTCTTCCATTTTTCAACACTCTGTGTACTGAAACATTAAGTTGAACGCCTTGCTTGTCTGTTGCTGTCCCAACAACCGCAGCTGTGTCCTTTGGGAGACCAACAAGGGAAGCTACCCTGATCCGGACACGGTGGAGTGTTCCCCAAACGACGAGTGCACGTGCATTAACCTATGCGATGGCCCGGTGTATGACTTTCTTTTCCACATAGACACAGACCCATTGGAAACGGTGAGTTGAGGTTGGGTGATAAAAAATTGCCAACAACCTAAAAAAATATCAAAATCGAGCTCTGATCGGTCGAAGACAACAAAGTGACGCAGCGCTAAATTTTGATTTCCTGACGAGGCTTGGCTGCTGGCTGACAGGAAGGGCGCACGTACGGCGAGAGCACTCCACGAAATGATGTCTGGGCAAGTTAGTCAAGCCACGGTATTCAGAAACAAAGGCCGAAGGAAGCCGTACAACACTATTTGATGATCTGTCCAGATCCATCCTCTGCCTCCTTCTTGTGATACGCATGGTGGACAGAGACGACCGCAACGCCCCCCTAAAACGAATGCACAATATCTTGTTACGGGTGGAATCCCCTCAGCAGAAAACACAACGTTGGAACAACAGAAACTTCCTCACTCCGAAGCTAATCCTCGATGGCGATACCTACCACCAGGAGAACCTGGTGGAGACGATGCCCGACAAGTATGCCGACATGAAAGCAAGATTCGAGTTGGCCACAAAGGACGAGGTGCACCCTGCCTATATGCCCGAGCAGCCGATGGGGTTCGCGGTGAGTCTATCTGGACGTGTGTATCGATTCCTGATGTTGTTGTGATGGTCGTGCGGTTGTGCCTGCTGTTTTCGTCGTCATCGTCGACGTCGTCGTGGTCGATGGTACCCGTATGGCCGTCCTTGTTCTCATGTTAGAGATTCTCATCACATTGGAAAGCCATGCTATTCCTTCGGCCGAACAACCCTCGCTCCCGCACCGATCCCGAACCTTGGGGGCAGCCACCTGTAGGGCGCGGTGCCCCTTTCGAGAAGTGCCCAACCCTTTCCCCAACCCTCACCATGCAGTGCTCAACCCTAACCCTATCCGCTCGCATACCGATCCCAAACACAAATATGCACCTTGATCGACACATGGCCTGTCAATGGAGGTCGTTGATTCCACTAGCCATGCGATCGTAGGGGTGCATACCTAATCGTCCATGCAGGCTATCGACGGCGATGCCTCTGATGACGCGTGCGGGCCTCAGGTTATGGGTACCCCTACAAAAGCCCAAGAGCACGCGAGTGAACCCACTTTTCTCATGCCCTCACTGAGATTTTCCCATTCAGGTACATGTTGTGCGCCAACCTTGAGTTATCCTACATCAACTACTCCTCCAAGCAAAATCTCAATCCTTCTATCGCGGGCATTCACGCGTTCATCCCCCCCCCCCCCCCC